GTTTAGTGGGTAAACAGGAAGGGTTGGACATAATGATCTCAGAGGTCTTCTTCAACCGAGCGATTCTGTGATTCTGTGACATGAATTTCACACATTGCCAATTCTTGCAAACAATCTCTAGAATGGACAAAAAAAAAATTTAAATCAATGTCATTACATTGTAAGTTATATGTACTTGCTTACAGCTGCTGCTGTCCAAAACTAGAAATAACAGAAAGCCATGCTGTTCACCTATGTTTCTAAAGTATCCTATGTATTTAGTAATTTGCTAAGAGGTCTTTCTCACACTTAATCAGAATCTATCTTTCTTAGTGTTTTACAAGACCTTCTAAATAGATTTTATTTTGTATTTATTTAAAGAATAAATCTCCTGATTGTCCCCACTTACTGTTGGCCAGGTAGAATCACAAAGCAGTCTTGGAACATGGGAAATTATTTGCATGAATCTAAACCAGAAAATGCACTTCAAGAATATATGTAGTAAAATCACTAAAAAGCATTCATTCCACAAGACGAGACTAGGGCTAGTCGAAAGGAAAACCTCCATAAATTTTGTTGTGTAGGCACTGGACCTTCAGCACCAACTGCTTCACTCCACAGATTTACTTTTTTTTGCACCAGCACTCCTTACTAGCTAACCTTAGATTCCAATATGTTTCACACTTTAAACACGATGTAATTTACATACAGCATTCTGCATATTTTTATGTCTACAAAATATTTTAACATATTAAGTTAATGGAAATGCACTGAGTTATATTTACTCTAACAGTTTTAAACTATACAACTGCAACAAAATAGTTGATGTGGAATTTTCTCATTGACTTATCTAAAGTATTAATTTCATATAAAAAACAGAGGGCCTTGATCTATAATTTTCCCCAAAACTAGTCAGTTTTCTTTGCTACACCACATACCTTTAGTTTTTTCCCCCAAGTGAATACCTGCTCACAGCTTTAAAGTTTTTCTTGATTAAATGACCTGAAGCCACTAAGCTGACAAAGCAAAAAGAAAAGCCAGTTAAGCCTGTGTGTGTTACATATAGTACTGAAATAGCACAATTTTAAGTGTTTTACCAGATCACATCTCTCAGGAAAACCCACAATAAGTTATACAAAAGTAGGAATAAGGAACTGTTTTAAACCCACAGAAGCAAGGTCTTTCCAACTAGGAATGAAGAACCACACACCACCAAACCTAATGCAGTAGGCCTTCTAGCATGCATGGTATCATAAGACCTCCAAACATCCAAATCAATCTTCAAGTAAAAAAAAGAGGAAGGATGGGAGTTTTCAGGTCATCTGTTCTATTGCAGCACTGATCAATTTTTTTTTCATTGCTGTTTCTGAAGTTTTAGAACAAATCAGATGACTTCAGATTCCACTTTCTAGAAGAACAGTTACATAAGGAGAAGTTCCTCCTTAACTTGGTAGCTTGCTCAGTCATTCTCACTGCTCCCTGCCTTCCACTAGAGGACAAATGAGATCTGGGTGCCTTTATCACACAGACTATGACCTTGCCCATACTCCCCAGCATATAAAAATCTCTATTGAGTACTATCAATTATATTTTTAGCCTCCAATTTCTTTGTTCATGAAGTTGTAGTGGTACTACAAATAAAATTCAGTAAAGTATCTACCTTATTTTGGCAAATCTGATGAACTGATCTAGTATGAGCTTCTGGTATCACTGCTGCACTGCAGGCTGCATTGAGATCAAAAATTTCCAATGCCCAGTTGCTGCCAGCTGTAAGCACAATATCTGTACAGTTCTCTGTGTTAAGGTTAAATTGTTCTAAAGGAACAAAAACATATAGATAGATAAGACAACAAATAAATAGATATCAAGACTGTGTTGTATTTAGTGCTCTATGAACACTACCAGAAGTCTTACAATCCTAAAAATCTTCTGTCCAAGGCTGAAGTTCAATACCACAAGAAAACCTGCATTTTTACACTAATAGAAAAAGAGCACTAAAGAATCAAATGCTAATTACTTTAACTGAAGTTATTTCCATGTCATTAAGTCCAAAAAACTATGAAAATAAGAAATACAAAGGATACAAGAGTAGAAATCATTTACTGCTGAAAGGCTGGTAATCTCCATTGTTGAAGCCATGGGAAATTTCTGTACCAATTTGCAAACACTTCTCTGTTTGTATCTGCAAAAAAATTATCAAATGAATGCTAGTATTAATGAAATAAATTATTATTTGTGGCCACCAGTAAGCTCCAACTGGATTCACAAAGAAAACCAAAAAGCTTTTTTTTCTTGCAAAAAGGTCTTGCAAATGCAAAGACCTTTTTACTCATTGCTGAACCCCGTTAAAACACTTGGCAACAAAACTCATTTGGACAGAAACATATTGGTATACCTAGGACAGTTCTTTCATCAACATGAAGCACTAAAATAATCCTGTATGTATACTGAAAATGTTGAAGAGAAAAAACAATCTGTCAAGTACCTATGATCAGAAAGAAGAAATAACACTAGTTTCAGTATAGCATTTCATGTGCTGATTGTAGGGACAATAAGAAAGAAAATGAGGAGAAAGCAAGGAAAGAATAATTTCCACTTAGATGGGAACAGAAGAAGAGGGTGATCATACACTGTTTCTGTTGCTGGAACACTATTTTCTCCTTTTAAAACTCAGTTCAAATTGCTCATGCTGATTATTAAAACAATACATAAAAACTATAAAAATGAGATAACAAGCCATAGATATTTTGTTAAGCTCAAATTCTTACATTAATTAAAAGTAATTAAGAAATAAAGAAAAAAACTGAGAAGCAAATAGTTACACTTCATATCAGCATGCACAACTGCTCATGAGAGTGGAAATTCAATAGCTAGTAATTTTGGAGAATGTAAAGAAAATTGTATAGGTTGTGAAAAATTTTGAGATTAATCACAGAAGAAGTCAGGAGTACTGTATCCTATTCCCAGAACTGCAACAGATGTCTACTATGGTATTTGTAAATAAAGATATATTTAAATAAGCCAATAAGGAATAAGCATTCTTTTTTCTTATTTCCACTTCTCAGTTTCACCTTTAAAACTGAACCAATATTTAACCATTTAATTAATTTGTTGTGATACTTAGCTAATTAATACTTATGGGGAGTTCTCTGAAAACTCTGCACAGAGAAACAGTGGTAAAGCCTCATGAAGTCCAGCAGGGCCAAGTGCAAGGTCCTGCGCATGGGTTGGGGCAATCAACCACACATTCAGGCTGGGCAGAATGGATTGAGAGTAGCCCTGAGGGAAAGGACTTGGGGGTGTTGGCTGATGAGAAGCTCAACATGAGCTGGCACTGTGTGCTTGCAGCTTAGAAAGCCAACTGTATCCTGGGCTGCATCAAAAGAAGCAACACCAGCAGGTCGAGGGAGGTGATTCTTTGCCTCTACTTCACTCTCAAGAGACCCCTCTTGCAGTACTGCGCCCAGCTCTGGGGACCCCAATATAACAAAGACATGGAGCTGTTGGAGCTAATCCAGAGGAGGGTCACAAAGGTGATCACAGGGATGGAGCACCTCTCCTTTAAGGCCACGCTGAGAGACTTGGGGTTGTTCAGTCTGGAGAACAGAAGGTTCCAGGGAGACGTTATTGTAGCCTTTCAATACATAAAGGGGACCTACAGGAAAGATGGGGAGGGGAGCTTTATCAAGGAGTGTAGTGATCGGGTAAGGGGTAAAGGTTTTAAAGTAAAAAAGGGTAGATATAGATTAGATATTAGGAAGAAAGTCCTTTCCAACCCAAACCATTCTATGATTCTATGCTTCTGTGGTATGATTTCTCATTGTACAGTCTTTACTACTGAAATACATTAGAAATCTATTTGTTAGTCAGACTGCATTGCCATATCCTTCTAATTAATGGTATAAGGCATGCCTTGCGGTTAGATCTAGGGTCTTTTTGAATCACTTCCTTTTAAGCATTCTTCCAAACTTGACTCAGAAGGCAGAATGAAAGAGTTGTGAGAAACAAAAGAAATGATGCGATGTTCCATAAAAGAAAGAAATGCTGGGAAATGAACTGGAGGGAATCCACTGGAAAATGTCAAAGTAAATTAACCTTTAAAACCTTTTTTTAATAGATATACATAATCAGGCCTCAGCCTGGTTTGTGAATTTGTTGTAATGTCTCAAATCGTGTTTGGTCTTTTGGCATTACACTAATACACCAGAGAGTTCAATTGCATATTTTTGAGTTAGTGTCAATGCATCAAGAAACGCTGAGAGCATGGCAGTAACAAAATTCTGCTGTAAGCACAACCGTACATACTTTAACAGCTTTAAACCAGGATACTTTATGCTTCTAACAAAGCAATTGGAGCAACAGAGAACACACAGTGACCAAGTCCTTGTAAAGCTGCTTGAGTGAGTTCTACAATTGCATCAAGTTCCATGCTGCCTTTAGTTTCTGAACTAACTAGCTTAAAAGTAGTTCAAATGTATCTTCCACAACAGTAACTGCAGTATGGATTTTCTTCACGTTACTGGATACTTTCCTCTGGGAGGCATGGCTGTTTGTTAAAAGAAAAAGAAAAAAAAAAAAGAAAAAGGAGATATCTAGAACCAGCACGTTATATACTCAATAATAGTGCCTTATTAAAGCCAAAGACCACACTAATTGCAGAAAAAAAGTATTTTAATTAAATCTTAAAAGTGAAAAATAATCAGAAGAGGGAAGGATCTAAAAGATCAGAATATTGTTTTCCATCTTCTTTTTCTAAGTTCTTCCGTGATTGCCTGTATAAATTTTAAGAGTTAAGAATGGTAGGAGAGAAGCAGTTGCCTGCCTCAGTTTACAAATATTACTTGTTTACACTATGAATAGATTTCATTAAAAACTAGGAACAGGAATCACTTTTCCTGACTTCCAGGTTCCTCCTGTACTATTATACTTTGCTACAGGGTAAGCACTTCAGAACATGAGATCTCTGTAAAAGCAGTTATGAGAAAATAAAGTCAAGGGGAAAAATATTTTTAAAATAACTTGTGACTGTATTTCAGTATTTTCATTTTATTCTATTAGTTTGACCCTCTTAATGTGATGTATATACTATAAAAATCAAAGCAGGAAGATCTGTATTCCTTTGTATATAGTTTTCCAGACTATTTACTATATTACCATTTCAAATAGAGTACATGATTAAGATAATATGAATAAGAGCAATAACAAAACCCTCCATTAAGGATTTTGACCAGAACTAGAAGGCAAAGAATCACAGGTGACAGGATCTTTTCCTGTCCTCAATCCACGAAAGCACTCCTATTCAAAAATGTATTTAAGACTGTGCTTAGTGTGTTTTTCTGTGCAGTGGCAAAACTAACAAGGAAATAAGCAACTTTTTCGTACCTAAGGTAGCAGCCCAATACTATTTAATATAATGAACAGAGAGGACACACCATTCACACAATCAACTAACAGAATCCAGTGTTGTAATTCTGTGTGTCTTTCCACTCAAAATCTGAAGGCATAATATCAGACAAATATCTCTGCAAGGTTTTTTTAAAATGTTATTGTGTTTAAACATATACATATGTACATGTGTATATGTATATATATTTGAATATAATTAATTCTCATATACAAAAATACTGCTGAGAACCAGCAAGAGTCAATGAAAAGCAGAGAAACTTAGTAAAAGGATACAAGGACAATTTTAGCTCCATTTATAAACAAAATTAACAGAAATCATGTATTAGATATTTAATGCAAGAACTGATTCCAAGTTGGAAAGAAGGAACCGCAGAATAATAAACAGAATAGTATTAGTAAAAAGTGCATGAAGGATGCCTAACAATGAAGAAACACAGGGACAAAATAGGATAATAAGAAAAGTAATTAGACACTATATATCAGTTGAAAAGTCAATGAAAATTATGAAACTTATCTATTTCCATTTAACAGAGAAGGAAGAAAACAGCCGCAGCATGTTGGAGTCTCTGAAAGGAGTATATAGAAATATTCCCTCAAGAGAAAGATTTACAATAGCTACTCATAACTTAAGACATTAATGCACACTAAGATGTAAACAGGCAGAAGGAAAGGCTCAGAAGGTTCCAAATGTAAAACTAATAGTAAAACAGTATTTGCAGCAGTTAAAGTATGCACTATAAAACTTATTTGACATTTATTTTCTTGTTATGTCAGAAGCGGAGCATCTCCCTTATGAGGAGCGGCTGAGGGAGCTGGGTCTCTTTAGTTTGCAGAAGAGGAGACTGAGGAGAGACCTCATTAATGTTTATAAATATTTAAAGAGTGAGTGTCACGAGGATGGAGCCAGGCTCTTCTCGGTGACAAACAATGATAAGACAAGGGGTAATGGACACAAACTGGAACACAGGAGGTTCCACTTAAATTTGAGAAGAAACTTCTTCTCAGTGAGGGTGACAGAGCACTGGAACAGGCTGCCCAGAGAGGTTGTGGAGTCTCCTTCTCTGGTGACATTCAAACCCTGCCTGGACGCCTTCCTGTGTAACCTCATCTAGGTGTTCCTGCTCCGGCAGGGGGATTGGACTAGATGATCTTTTGAGGTCCCTTCCAATCCCTAACGTTCTGTGATTCTGTGAAAAAAGGTATTTTTTACAATTAGCTCTTACTGTTTATTCTTCTTTTTACTTCTTGTCCCTCAGCTCACCTCACCACCCCCCAGAAAACCCCAGATCAAACAGTACAAGTACTTTCATCATTCTATTAATGAGAAATTTTACTCACCATTTGAGGTCATCCTTGGTTGTGTCTAGATGGAAACTTAATAGTTGAAATTCTGCTCCACAACACAGCAATATAAATGCATCTATAAAATAAAACTGTGCAAAGCATACAGTCTTATGGAACTTTTCTTTGCCCTGAAACACAAAGTAAATTATTAAGAATGGATTCTAAGATAATGAACATTTTTTTATCTGTGATTCTTGTGTTAAGATACAGTCTCCCTGTTAACCTGATCATAAGCCAGAAGGTTAACCTACTATGTAGTGGCCCTTCCTATTTTTGACATCTGATAATCTTAAAATAATTTTTTTCATTTTATTTAAATTAGTTGGCAGTAAAGTTAATAATATCTTTAGTCAATTGAATCTAATACAGTCTAGCCTCAAACTCTAAAACTTTCATTTGAATTGGGGAGTAAACTATAAAGTCAGGCAGAGCTGAGCCAATGAAAATTGTATGTATGAAGCAGACTATAAAACCAAAACTTCCAGACATGTCCACTAACTTTGTCTACTAAGGTTGTTTTTTTCTTTTCATAAATTGTCATGATAAAGCCTAATTTAAGGCAGCAGAGACCACCCAGATCATAGTACCAGTTGGAAACACCAGCACTCAGTATCTCTGAAAATCAGGCTGCATCTTCCCTCTGCAGAACTGTTATATGGAAGTAGATGAAAGTGCAAAAGAGTGTCCTCTGTGAACCAAACTGACAGAAGTTTCTAATTACCAGAATTAGGGCAGGTTCATTATTGCAGACTGACCAGACCCATAAAGTTCTGTCTTCTGCTGCAGAAACTAGCCACTTCTTGTCATGACTCCAGCCAAGACAGTTAACTGCACCATCATGGCCTAATAAAAATAATAATGGAAATACCATAAAGCCCGTTTCTTGATTTTATACATACCTCCAGGGTTAACTGTATTATTTTAATATAACTATACACAATATTAAAATAATTTTTAAATACAGGCTTCAAGTGGTTGGATTAAAACAGGTAAGAGTAAACCAGTTATTAATCTTTTTTCTTCCACCAAAAAACATGGAAAAGTATCTCTCATTTGTAATTAACATTAACAAAATTAAATAAGGTCAGAGAAATACCAAGTTATTCTACCTGAAATGTCATATGCATTTGTATGACACTGCCTCCATTGCTATAAGGGAGTTTGTATGAAGATGTTATAACAAATATAAAAGACATTTATCTTTTACACATATTCATATTCCAAAAGAATAAAAACTATTATCTAAATTTTCTTCAGCTTTTTTCAATTTAGATTTGACTTAATTAGAGCTATAAAATAGTTCTAAACAAATGTTTAAAAAGCAAAGAAATAAAACTCCTTCAAGTTAACAACAAAAACACATTCACAGGTCTTTACTGTCACAGTAATATTAACAAATTCTATCTATCTACACACTAAACTGAATTAGAAGCACTGTAGTGGTTATACACTTGTCATTAATAGCATGTCTTGTTGCTAAGAGTTGTAATTATGGTCTTTTTCATTAAATACTAACTGTCTCAGAGTTAAGTGCTGAATTGGATTAAAATTATTTCAAACTGTGGCAAAAAAACTCCACAGAAGTCTGACCATCAATTCCTAATGCTTCTAATAAAGCTTCTAAGGTCTAGAAAAGCTGTCTGATGCACAGATGTCCAAACATCAGTCTGAAAAAGGCTACTCAGAGAGAGATATTCAGAGGGTAATTTAATCTGATTTTGTTCTCTTGTTGGTAACAGAGTGAAGAAAACAACCATCACTAACAACTTGGCTACCAAATATTCGAAAGTGCAGCTGGGATGGTTAAAGTCCAGAGCCCTATGACTTGCTACTGTACCCAAAAGGCAAAATAGGGTGGTCATCATGCAAGGCCACAGTGTTCTGCATGTGCTTGTGAGCCAGTACTTGGCTCATAGAGAGGCTCAAAATCTGGCATCTAAGCCTATAGTGTTGATGATCATGTGTTATTTTGCTCTGACTAATAGGCTGCCCCGAGTGTTTTACGCTAGACTTTTGTCTTTGCCCATCCTGAATAACAGAGGGTTGGAAGTCCAGAAAAATTGAAGTTACCCCACTGGAGCTTGTAAAGACTGTTTTATCTTTTGTCATGGGCCTTCAAGAAATGTACTGGTGCAGAATGGTTCAGCCCAAAACAAAATCCTGAATCCCAGGATGGTTACTTTGGCATTGAAGACCTTTAAGATCAGAATCACGCTTGATATGAGCTTTGAACGTTTAACTTCAAGTGCTTAGAAACTGATTTTACAGAGCTGAAAAGAGCCATATATTCCAGAATAAGACAGTGTAATTGATGGGATGATGCTTTAAAAGGAAGGCTACTCAGATCCAGAAGCATTTTATCACATTTGACTTTGTTGGAGTTCAATGTTACAAAGCACAAAATACAAGCAGTTACAATATAATCACCAATCTAATTTATCTACAGACAATGATAATTCTGACTGTATTTTTTCAGTTATTGGAAGAAAATTTTCAAGAAACATCCTTGAAATTCAATTTTAGTAAATATATACTACGACTCCAAAAGGGAATCTGAGTATTATATTATAATGAAATTCTATATTAAATATGATCTGGAAACCACTTAAGACCTTGCAAATAGTTGCAGTACACTATTTTATTCATTAGGCTTCTATTACTGAGCTAGCTGCTTTCGTGAAAACACAATGAACCTGCCACTACAGCAGCTTGTGCAGGACTTTCTCATTAGGCAGAAAAAACGTAATTGCTTGTCTAAAAATCATAGTCAAAGCATTATAAACTCCAGTTAATAGCCAAAAGTTTCTACAGGTAACAGATTTTTCCAATTTGGTGCCATACAGTTAAAAACAAGATTAGATATTCACAAAGACAAAAAGAAAAAAACCAAAATTCAAAAGCTAGAAACATCATCCAGAAGCTAAAATTATTAATTTTATCTAAAATTATAATGATGATGATCAAAAAGGTCAAAAAAGAAGAAAATATGTCAAACAAAATTAACAAACTTTGGTCCATATTATTCTAATCTGTCCAGATGAAGTCTGATGAATTTCAGCCTTAAAAAATTCAAAGTTCTTATGCTGCCCTCTTGTGCACATTTTCTCTTTAGTCAACTGAAGTTTTACACTAAAAATTTGATTGTTTAAAATTACAGGAAGACTAATGAATTTATCTTTGCAATTAAGATCTTATAGGACATTATGTATAAAAAGTCTTATAAACAAGATATTTTAATTCCCATTTACCAAATACCTGTAGAATTTTTACCAGAAAACTACATAAGTACTGGATAAGTACATATGTAAATACTATACTTATTTTATTCCCAACACAAAGATTTATTTGGGGGCTTTGGTTCTGCAAAACCATTTGGAAACCTTGAATTATCTGCATTAAAGAAAAAAAAAATCAAAAACAACTTACCAGAATATACAAAACAGTTTTTTAAAGTGGTAAGGAACATGAGAAACTTTAGGAAAATCTGAGGTTTGGAAAACTGAAAAACCCATGCAAAAAGCTTAAGAATCCCTGCACTCCAGATCCCTCAATCCCAAAGCACAGTGAAGGAGATGCCAGCTGGCTTGTAGGAGGTCAGTAAGCTTCGAAACAGGCATTACTCAGGGTTCCCCAGTCCTGAAGCACATTGAGAAGGACAGCAGCTGGTTTTGTAAAAAGAACATGCTGGCTGTAAGTCTTTGAAAGCTGGCCAGCATTTTCTGCACTTCACTATAGGACACAGACACCTGAAGAGCCAGCACTGAAGAGGAATTGTCATGGTTTAACCCCAGCCAGCAACTAAGTACCACGTAGTCATGCACTCACCTCCCCTCACCCCAGTGGGATGGAGGAGAGAATCAGAGGAAAAATAAGAAAGCTCTTGAGTTGAGATAAGAACAGCTAAATGATTTAAATGAAATTCAACTTCAAATTAAAAAAAATAATAACAAAAATTATTATTATAATGACAACGATAAAACTGTAATGTAATGAAGACAACAAAAAAAGTAAGAGACAACAAAACCAAGAAAAACAAGTGATGTAACAGCTCACCACCCACCGACTGACACTCAGCCAGTCCTCAAGCAGTGATCATACCCCCCCGCTAACTCCCCCCAGCTTATATACTGAGCATGATGTCTTATGGTATGGAATATCACTTTGGCTAGTTTTGGGTCAGCTGTCCTTGCTGTGTCTCCTCCCAGCTTTTTCTCTACAAGAAGAATTATGAGAAACTGAAAAAGTCCTTGGCTAAATGTAAACATTGTTTGGCAACAACTAAAACATTGGGATGCTAACACATTCTAAGCACAAATCCAAAACAGGCTCACATTAGCTACTATAGAGAAAATTAACTCTCCCAGCAAAAACCAGCACAGGGATACAGAACTACTTAAAACTGTAACTGAGCACTTCAAGGAACAAAACTGAATAAATTAGACTTATAGCAAAATCGCTGTTGTTAGGCCACTCCTCTCTGATAGTGCACTATAAAAAAATTATTTTTGATAATCAACTACATTCAGATGTCAATGCTGCCTTGAAATTGAATTTTTTTAACAGAATAGATAGCATTGCCATTTCTGAGAAAAGTTTTACATTTCCATTGATTGCAGCTCTTAATAAGAGTAACGTATCATGGTTTTTAATTAAAAGAAAAGACATTTACTATGACACTTCAAAACCAAAGACATCTAAAGTAGAAAATAAATAGGTAATTTCATTATCATCTCTGTACAGAAGAACTACATGAATGAAATAAGCATGTAACTGATGGTTTGTGTTTCCTACTCCCTTATAGTACAGTATCTGAAAGTTTCACATTTATGTTGTTTGAAAAGCATTACATTCATAGGCTGCATTATTATGCTAGTTAAAGAACCCTGAGTAGAAAGTAGTTTACGCTTCTTTTCAGACTGTGCATCATAAAAAAGGCATAGAATAAAGAATCAAGGGTATCAACGAAATAAATCAGGTAGTTGTCCAGAATCTAAGAAAACTGATAGATCAAAGCAAATTGTTAGAAGAACAACTTACTTTTTTCATTTTTAAAGCAAGACAAACAACTTTTACTTAATCTCTGGCATCATCAGAAAAAGCTTCTTTGTAGTAGCATGTAGTTAGTGCAGGTCGTTTTACTCACAATAAATTAGAATGCATTTGCAGAGTACTGGAGTATTTTAGGGAGCTCTGAATGTTGAATTAGCATAGGAATCTGAAATCTTTATCTATACATCTTAAAATACATCTTACAAAATCATCATATTTAATTTTAATTCATAGAAAGACAAAGCCTTTTGTTACAATGTGTCAAAACCTAAGTACTCTTTCCTTCATGATTTACAGAGTAACGAACTAAGGTTTTCTTTCAAATTTAGAAACCTCTAAATTCTAACCTTTTTTTTTTTTTGCTTTCAAATATGTCTACTTACATGACTATTTTTTCTTATTAAAGTTACTGTCAGTATTGAATCATTGCTTAGATGTTATTTAGTATGTTTAGAGTAGCCTTGCTTCCAGAAAAAAAATACTTTAATGCTCTTCAAAATAATTTACATTTTATCTTATTCAGATTACTTATGGAGGATGTGTTAATAATCTGAAGAAACACAGGGCACAAATTCATTTAAGATGCTGTGTTCCAAATACTATAGCAGTACTGTATCATTACTTTTATAGATGCCTGGAACAAGTACGGGAAGGAAACACAGAATTTTGGTTAATTCCATTTTTTATAAATCCTGATCTTTAAAACAATGTTAAACATATTCTAGATATATGGTCCCTTTGGACAAAACTACTGCTTTTGTTCCTGTATTACCTAAATAACAAAATTATGTCAATAAAAACTCAAAACACTATTCCTGCCTGGAGTTTATGTGACTTACACTATGAATTTGCTCAAATTAATCAGTGATACATAAACATTTCTAAAAGTTTATGAACATGCTATTGTGGAAAAATATGCCCACAAGGCATATTTTCACCAATTTCCTCATATAAATAGGAAATTATCAGTAATGTTACCTCCATTAATTATTGCAACACCACCGCTGCTTCCAAAAAATAAAATTAATATTACTCAAAAAAAAAAGTTTTCAGAAATCAGTTATCAGACTTTTACTTAGAAATAATTTTCTAAAATAAATTAAAATAGTCTACCCTTATATTTGTTAAGGCCTGCTAGTAAATGACAGTCATCTTCCATAATGAACTTTCACAGTAAATCAGTCCTGCTATATGAATTTTAATTTATAATATTTACTGTTCTTAAAAATTTAACAGATAGTTCTTGTAGAAATTTAGAATTCTTTTTTAAGGCTCATTTACAATGTTAAGTAATGCACATGTGTTTGCTTGTGCACACACTTTTGCAGATACGGATTTCTCCATAGGAATAGTCCCTTTTTTTTTTTCAAACACTTGTTCTTTAGAAGTCTGGAGCTGCAAACCAAATATATTTGTTGCAAAGTCATCATAGTCAATTTTTGACTAATAATCTGTTACAATATATTACTGCAATATATACATGCATTATCATTTCAAGGTACTGTATTTATTATTTCTATTTAAGTATTGTAATATAAATACACATTGCATATTGCAATTTATAATATGATACATAACTATTTAACTCCAAGAAAACTGAGAAATGGGAAAAGCTGGTAGGCATTTTAATTCTAGAACAAAATTAACCAATCAAAGAAGTAACTTCTACATCTTGGATGAGCACTATCTCTTCTCCTCCATTCTTCTCAAGGTGATGTAAGTGGAATCTTTTCATTACTATGACATTCTAGGTTAAACTCAATTATATACTATTTCTTTAATAATGTAATTCGTAAATTTACCTGAAAAAACATTACGGGTATCAGTTAGATTGGAATTGAATATCAGTACAGAGCTGTCAGCCAGGCCATAAGCCAGCATCTTGCCATCACCTGTAAAGAAGAATGTCTAATGATTTATATCTGGGGACAAAAGAGGAAAAAATAAGGGAGAGTGGAGCAAGAGAGGATAGCAGTGAGAGATAGGAAGGAAATGAAGCACAGAATTCAAATCAATGCTATTAGGCTCTCTGTAAAATTATTTTTAAAAAGGTACCACCTGAACATCTCCTTCATTAATCTCCTGAGCATCTTTACAAAGAAGAAGGCAATAAAATTAATGCTTGACTTCACCAACACTAAGCACTGCTATTCACTGTCCAAGTATCATCCACATTGCAGGTTCAGAATACTATGTTCCACAACATATTTTTTCCCCACATTATGGTAACAGAAACAGATAAGAGATCCATATTTCTGATCTCTGAAAGTCATCTACTAAAAGTGAATTTTAAGTGTGTTACACAATGGAGTAGACATATATGCTAAGACAACATATTCCAGAATCTTTTTTCTGTTAACAGTTGTTAAATGCACCAGTATACTAAACTGGCAAAGAACTACTTCATAAAAACATTTTTCGTTTTATCTGAAAGCAGTATTTTAGTTTACTTTTTCTCCAAGTATTAGTAATTGCATCTACTAAATAATGTCGTTAAATAATTTCATCACAAAAATGAGATAAGTAGTCCTGGAAAAAATATTTTAAAAATGTATGCCTCACAAATTTATAGGTATTAAGTCTTTGAGCTAAATGGTGGAGCCCTTCTGCAGATTTCTTCCACTTTTCTAAAGTTTTGACAGTATGTATTTTGAGCATGAAAGCTGATTGGCAAGTATACCAGGTAAGTAATACAAGTCATAAAAACAATTAAAAACACATAAACCTTCTTGTGCATACAGAAAGAGAGAAAATAATTTTGCATGGCATTTGGGTCCTTGTTTAACAGAACATGATCTCAAATCCTGAAGAAAACTTTTCTAACAAAGTAACAAGTTATAACTCATAACTCCTTTAATACTACAAAAGGATATTTAATAAATCTAAGAAGGTTTGCATTAACTCATTAATGCGACTTTACAACCTCTTAAGTTTTACTTAAGTTTTCTACTCAATTCTCTTTCTATTATGTTTAAAGATGCACATAATTTTAATTATTGTGATTCATACTTTATAAAGACCATTTGAAACACTCTTCCAAGCTGCAATTCCAAGTTGCAAATTTGCAACATAAAATGTATTGTAAAGATAGGAAGCATCTGGTCAATACAAACTAGTACAATAACAGAACACCTCTTTACAAACTTACAATAATATGATATTTTTTTTTTTACTTGAAGAAAAAAAACCTGCAAATTTTGCTAAATTATGGTTGTTTAAGCCTGTGTGTGTATGCATGCATGTGCGAGAGACAAATACGGGAACAGAGAAAGATGTTTCTTCCTCAAAGTAAAAGAGGGTTTATAATTAAAATGTATTCTCAAAACTACAGCAATGCCTTGCTAAAAAGTAACTTTTAGTTCTAAGCACATGCAGCATTCCTAGAAATGAGCTCTCTGCAATCACTTTCAAGAGTCATAAAAATAATTTCTTCCCACCCTCTAGGGAGCACGTATGGCCGGAATATGATTTAGAAAAGTTCCTGATTGCATATAACTTCTCTTACTTCTTGAAGATGAAAGTTACTCTGGTCCCAGAAATATTTATAAAGATAAGCATTTTTAAATACTTTGAAAATATTGCGGTTAGCAGAGTGTACACTGACATCATTATATACTTGGTAATACATTTGATTGCTGATCTAAAAAAATTGTTTCTGTATATTTGTATGGATTGAAAATGTCTAAATCTATTACAAAACTCACTTCTTCAAAGAAAAATATCCTTCTTTAGATTATATGGAAGAATTCAATTTTTTTGTATTAAAATATATAAAATTGAATACTCTTTAAATAAGAAATAGGAGTGTGCTGATTCTTTTGAAGCAGAACTTCAGCTTTTAATACACCCTAATAACACTAAGTTAATGTCTCAGAAAATAAATCCCTTAGTGAAAGAACTTGTTAGACTACTAATTTTCAAGTTGCAGTGGGAAAGTCATAGAATAAATCTAAAAGGAAACAAGATGTAAATTCAGAGAACAATTCTTTTGCATATGTGTTAGCAGCTTGCATGGTTTTATACTAAAATTTTTTTTACTAAATAAATAAAAAAGAGAAAGAGAGGGAAAAACATTAAGATGCCTAAATCCAGTAGATTTGCATTTCAATTACGAAATACATGTGCTTTGGGAGCTATTCTAAATGTCTTTATATAAATATATCCTGGAAAACTTATGTTAAATTCAAGAAGAGAGATATAATGAATTTTAAATTGTCATACTGAAATTACTCCTATCATCAACTATTATGAATTCATGAAATCAAGAATTAACATGGACTTGTCCATAAAATGAAACTTAAGTTGCACACCTATCTAATAAAAGTGTTTAAAGAACGTAAACTCTACGCTGTTGTGACAATAAGCAATATGAAAAATCTCTCCATATGTAAAAATAAAAAATATACTGATAATCTATTTAACAAGATACTAAAAAGAAAAAAAAAACCACAAAAATGTTACAGTGCTAGGTACAAAACAAAGTGATTAAGTAGGTTAATGTATCATAAAATCAAACAAACCAATCTAGAAATTATCTAAAGTACTCATCTAAAGGCTTGCCTAAGTGTGCAAGGATTACAAAAATTTAGTCTTAAGTGTTTAAGAAACAGTTTATAAAAAAAGAGAAAAATTATGGCATTAACCATTATTTGCTTTTATGTTTGTACTACAGAGAACAAAGACTTTATATAAAACTAAAGAATAAAAAAGTATATATGTAATATACTCATTTAACATATCACACCAATTAACACAAAAGTGCCAGTTCTAAAAAAAAATCCATTCTTTGTGTCCACAGTGATGAAGAATCCACTGGTAAAATTATATCATTATATATAGTCTGTTTAAATCTATTAGAGCAAACTTTCATTAACTTAAGATAACATGATTTTAGGGGCGAATAAGGCACATGAGCTGAAATCATTAAGTGATGAGAGAAGCAGCTACGAAGTGCATTTCCAATAGAACTGTATTTATCCTCATTTTAATTTGTTCTTCCTCTAATGGAGTTGCTAGAATACCTACTGTATACAACTGGTCTTCCACTTTGATATTTCATTTTTCTTCAGTTTGCTATTTGGAGAAAACATGGTCATCCTACAAAAAAGAACACAGACTCTCCTATATGAAACATTAAATGTTGCATGAGAAAAATAGTTTATTTCCAATAAAAACCAATCCTAATTCCTTCATACTATTTATAACTACTAGTAATGTCAGTAGGTAAGATAATGTACACATTGACAATGTAACTTTCTAATGGTCTAGTGCTCGAGTTTGCATCCAAGCTTTGCTTTCTGTGAGTTATTTGTTGGATAATGCATTCTGAAGGTCAAAATCCATTCAAACAAAGTTCTCAGACATTTCTTTCTGCAAGCTGAAGAAACACAAAGAGTTTAATCATACAAAGGAGACACAATGGCTAATAGAGATTTTGGAAGGAAGTTGAACACTAGCCAGAAGCTGTGAAAATTTTGGCTTACAACATATTTTTTATTAATTAATTGATTCATTTCACAGTCATGAACTCTGTTATGAGACAAAACATCACACATCACTAAAACAGACAAAATAGTAATGTATCTACTCACTGTGGTGCTGCTGTATATCCTGACGACTTTATTTTATTATGGAAAACCAATGGCTGATCTTTCCTCATGCTTTTCGCTCCTATAGAAAAATGATTTAATATTCATTATTTTTTTTAACATAATATTTTTACTGTTAAGTTACTTAGTTAAGCTAGCACAGTAGAAATATTTGATACAGAAGACATTTACAACCAGTCACTCTAAAATAACAATTACTGAGAAAAGGAAAGAAATCTTAACTGTTATGTTGCATAACATCCCTCCAATAATATCAATAAGTAGGAACTCTGCTAAACTTTGAATTAACAAGAACATTGTTCTGAGGAACTTTTTTCATCATTCACAAATGTGTTTTGTAGTTGCCTATTTTATGTTTAGACTTTATAATGCACTAGCTATAATACATTCACACTTTATATCTGGAATATAGAATGCATCTAAATATCTAAAATTAACAAACTGGCTGGGGCATACACAAATGTTTGAGGTTTTACATGTTTTAAGTCATTAATAATGTCTGCATTCACATTGCTGAACTAAAAAGCCTGAATGGCAGCCTCCAGCCCAAAACTAAATATGACTATTTCGCATCAGCAGAAACAACCTAATTTTAAAAATGGTTTAAAGGGGAAAATCTTGTTGATATTCCCAGGGACAAACATCAGGAGCATTGGAAGTGATCTCATGAGCACATTTCTATGCTGAGGATAGAAGCTCCTTCAACTGCCACCAGCTAACCTTGCTCTTTATGTAGCAATGACGCAGAAAATAGTCCTTCCTGGGAAGTTCCCAATACCACTTGCCATAAGACATCATAGGATTTCCTTACAGCACATAATCTACTTGAGTGTGATGTGTCAACAAGGGCAGTACAGGCATCAGTGCTGAGTGTCCAAAGCAGCCTGAAATTCTAGCTAAAACACTGTGGATGCATGCTTGGAATATCATACATCACTAAAGATATAACCTTTGACATTCTAACAGGTCCAGCAAGTACAGTCAATACAGTAAAAATAGATTATTTCTACATGTCTCCAGCTACCAACATTTTTACACTTTTCCTAAAGAAAAGATGATGATGCAAAAATTGTCAGAAACTGAATTAACAGCAACTGGAAGTCAGACCTTTTTATTTTTAAACAGTAGACCATTGAGGCACAAAATTATCTTCCCAAACTTGCAAGTATTGACAAAAGGCTATTCAGGACAACAAAATTAACAAAAACTGGTAACCAAAGTTAAGAAAGAAATAACAAATTATACAGAAAAATATATTGCATGCTATGGAAAATGGATTACTTATGAAAAATGTAAGCATTCTACACACTTTAAACTCTTTGAAAATCCACAGGAAGTTCTTAGAGGATTGTCTTCAAAAGAAGAAAAGTACCATATCATCACCATTTTTACTACAAATACATATGTAGGATATAAAATACCACTAGAAGTATAATATCCTTCCTACTAAAATAAAAATGCAATACAATATATATTTTAAATAGAAATTTACTGCATTAAGCACCACCCAGTTGGGAGTCAGTTACTGTTATTAAAAATATAACTTTATAAATTCATTTCAAGATTGGTTTATACTTACCAAGTGTTTTACTGGAATGTTTTTTCAAGTTTTTCTTTAAACACTTATGCAATGGAGAATTCGACAATAAAGAACGCCTAAGTTATAAAACCAAACACAAAAATTCATCAGTGTAATGGACAAAAGCATCAGATCAGGAAAAACTGTCAAAACTTCTTTTTAGCTATTTGTGTGCATGTGTGTATGTATGTATATATGTGATAACAGTGAGATTTTCTTAAATATAAATCAGGCACAGTAGATTAGTTATCAGCTGAGATACCCAGCAGCACAGACAAGCCTTGGCCCTGACTAGATTGACAGACCATTGCATTTACATGTTAAATCCCATTTCTGTGAATAATAACCAATTATTTTATTATAAGCACTGAAATCTGCACTTTGGTATATATTGTACGATTTTTATTGTCTTCAAGATGTCCTGGAAATCATTTACAGGTACATGAAGGACAAGAAAGCACTAGTCAGCATGGATACACCAAGGGGAAGTCATGCATGATCAACCTGATAAAACTGCTATGATAATATGACTGCCTTGGTAAATGAGGGGAGATTAGTGGATTATTGTCTACTTTGATTTCAGTAAGGCTTTCTACACTGTGTCCACATAGAAAAGCTGCTGAAGTATAGGCTTGATGAGCACACAGGGAGGTGGACAGAAAACCAGCTGAACAGCCAGGCCCAGACAGTGATGATCAGTGGCACAAAGTCTACTTGTAGGCCAGTAACCAGTGGAGTACCCCAAGCATCAATACTGGTCCAATTCCATTTGACATCTGCACTAATACTTTAGTAAGGCCTTGGATACCATTTTTAACAGCATTCTTCTGCAGAAACTGGCTGCTCGTGGCTCGTAAGGGTGTACTCTTCACTGGGTAAAAAAACTGTCTGGATGGCCAAGCCCAAAGAGTTGTGGTGAAGGGAGTTAAATCCAGTTGGTGGCCAGTCACAAGAGGTGTTCCACAGGGCCTAGTACTGGGGCCAGTTCTGTATAATATCTATATCAATTATCTGGGCAAGAGGATCAGGTGCACCCTCAGTAAGTTTGCAGATGACGCCAAGTTGGGAGGGAGTGTTGATCTGCTTAAGGGTAGGAAGGCTGTACAGAGGCATCTGGACAGGCTGAATCAATGGGCTGAGTCTAACTGTATGAGCTTCAACAAGGCCAAGTGCCAGGTCCTTCACTTGGGTCACAACAACCCCATGTAACACTACAGGCTTGAGGATGAGTGGCTGAAAAGCTGCCTGGTGGAAAAGAACCTGAGGCTGTTTGATTCTATGATACTAACAACCTGAATGAAGGACCATAGTGTACCCTCACCATGTTTGCTGACGATACAAAACTGAGAGGAGTGTCTGATTTGTGCTGCCATCCAGAGAGATATCCACATGCTGGAAAAATGAGCTGACAGCAACCTCAGGAAGTTCAACAAGAGGAAATGCAAAGTCCTTCTGGGGGGGAACAACCCTATGCATAAGTAAGGTGTAGCCAGGCCCTGTGCCCACTGCCCAGTGAAGAAAACAGAGGCAATGGACAAAAATTGAAATGCAGGAGGTTCCCTCTGAACATCAGAAAACACTTTTCTACTGTCAGGGTGACTGAGCACTGGCATAGGTTGCCCAGAGAGATTGTGGAGTATCCCTCCCTGCAGATATTAAAAAGTTGTATGGACATGGTGCTGAGCAACTGGCTCTAGGTGGCTCTGTTTGAGCAGGGAAGTTAGACAAGATGGCCGACGGAAGTGCCTTACAATCTCAACCACTCTGTGATTCTGTGATTTCTACCACTCGATACAACTAAAGCATGACAGGAAAACATGTAAAATAAAAACATGTCAACAAATAGCACTGTACAAAATCACAGAATTACAGAATTTTAGGAGTTGGAAGGGACCTCAAAAGATCATCCAGTCCAACTCGCCTGCCAAAGCAGGATCTCCTACATTAGGTCACATAGGAACACGTCCAGGCAGGTTTTGAATGTCTCCGAAGAAGGAGGCTCCACAACCTCTCTGGGCAGCCTGGTCCAGTGCTCTGCCACTCTCACAGTGAATAAGTTTTTCCTTATGTTTACATGGACCCTCTTATGCTCCAGCTTGCACTCATTGCCCCTTGTCCTATCATTGGACATCACTGAGAAGAGCCTGGCTCCTTCTTCCTGACATTCGTCCTTTACATATTTATAAACATTAATTAAGTCACCCCTAAGTCTCCTCCAAGCTAAAGAGACCCAGCTCCCTCAATCACTCCTCATAAGGGAGATGCTCCACTCCCTCAATCATCTCTGTGGCCCTGCACTGGACTCTTTCAAGCAGTTCCCTGTCCTTGAACTGAGGGGCCCAGAACTGGACACAATATTCCGGATGTAGTCTCACCAGGGCAGAGTAGAGGGGAAGGAGAACCTCTCTTGACCTACTAACCACCCCCCTCCTGATACACCCCAGGATGCCATTGGCCTTCTTGGCTGCAAGGGCACAGTGCTGGCTCATGGTCATCCTGCAGTACTCCAGGATCCCCAGGTCCCTTTCCCACTGTGCTGTTCCCCAGTAGGTCAGTCCTCCCCTATACATGGGGTTGTTCTTTCCCAGATGCAAGACTCTACACTTGCCCTTGTTTCTCCCCGCCCAACTCTCCAGCCTGTCCAGGTCTCACTGAATGGCAGCACAGCCTTCTGGAGTGTCAGCCACTCCTCCCCGTTCTGTGTCATCAGCAAACTTGCTGACAGTGCACTCTGTTCCCTCGTCCAGGTTGTTGATGAATATATTGAATAGTACTGGTCCCAGTACTGACCCCTGGGGGACTCCACTGGATACAGGCCTCCAACTTTCCTTCAGCCAGTTCACAATCCACCTCACTACCCCATCACCCAGACCACACTTCCTCACTTTAGCTGCGAGGAGGCTGCTGGAGACAGCGTCAAATGCTTTACTGAAATCAAGATAAACCACATCCACTGCCCTACACAACCACATGTATCCACCTGGTTATGTCCTCCTAAAAGGCTACCAGGTTGGTCAAACATAACTTCCCCTTGGTAAAACCATGCTGCCTGCTCCTTATGACTCTCTGATCCTTGATATGCCTAGATACAGCACCAAGGATAAGTTGTTCCATCACCTTTCCAGGGATGGAGGTGAGGCTGACTGGGCTGTAGTTACCCAGGTCCTCCTTCTTGCCCTTTTAGAAGACTGGAGGGACATTTGCTTCCCTCCGGTCCTCAGGCACCTCTCCTGTTGCCCACGACTTATCCAGGATGATGGAGAGTGGCCTAGCAATGACTTCTGCCAGCTCCCTCAGCACCTGCAGGTGCATCCCATCATGGCCCATGGATTTATGGATGTCCAGACTACTGGATATCCATATATCCATAAAAAAACATCTGATGCACTTCAGTGCCAGGAAAAAAAAATGCATAATCTAACTCAGAGGAAAAAAACGTTTAAAGCTATTTTGTACCTGGCAATAACCGATAGACTGCTTTTGTTTCTACACAGGAGAAAACCACTCTGCTGAGTTCTCACCAATGCAGCAAGGTTAATTTCTAACACAGCAATTGTATCTTCAAACATGGAGGTGATCAAGCATAAAACCTGTAGCAGTTATACCATAAAATAACACTCCATTTACTTCACAATGTAAGCTCCAACACTAAAACATTTATAATGGAAAATAAAATAACTTTGTGTCATTTATGAAAATTAGTCAAAAATACCCATGGGTTTAGTCTTGCAAAGCATTAAACAGTAAAAAGTGGTAAATGCTGTCCTTCAAAAATAGGCTTATGTTGCTTAAATACAGTCTTAACAGACTTGCATACCTAACAGTCACAGAAATTCCAATACCTTCTACAATAGAGATATTTCTGCAGTAAGAGTTGTGAGAACAGAAGCACACATGGAAGAAAGATTGGTTTCAGAGACATGCTGAGAACATGCTAAGAACTATTTTAAAATAAAATCCTTCTTTAAAACAAAACACTGCTATGCTAAATATGTGGAAAACCTAGATCACCTCAGTTCTGTAGAAAAACTGTAGCATCAAAAATGGAGTATACAAACAAGAAAGCCTTTCATTTCCTTAAAAGACTTTTAGTGACTTCATATGTAAATTTTCTCACAACTCAAATAGTTCTCACAGATTTCTTGGAAGTATTCAGAAACAGTTGATCTTAACATTTGAGAAACGAGGTAAAACAATGCTTATATCTTTTTTCCTCAAAAAGATTGCCTCTGCTTCTGCAATGGTAATTCTTGACATTCAAGGTACACACCAAAAATTATTTAAAAAAAAAAATAAATCACCTTTTGCATATTAATAACTTTGGACAGTACACAAACTGCGAGAACTTTAAAACTACCCAGCTGTTTAAACTAGTAGATTCTATAAAGAAGAATCAACCCTATACAGAGAAACTACTATGTAATTCACATGAGGCAAAAAATAAGTGTACATTAATCCATAAACAAAATACATAATTAATAGTTATTTAAAACAACTGGAAATGTAAACTTTCATTAAATAAATGTTTACTGTATACTTACATTTCCATTAATTGCCTTCCTTGTTAATGCACACGATCTGGCAAACTGAATTCTGAGGTCACTACAGTCTTTACCAAAAAGAACATAGTGCTATAAAACTGTATTTGCATTTCAAAAGAAAAAAAACTATCACTAAGTCTGGAAAAAAACCAAAATTACTCTTCCTAATTTGACACCACCATAATCCTGTCTTCAATGTACATCCTTCTAGTTTACCTCCACATTGTGAAGTAGGATAACATTCCTTTAAGTATTTAAGTATTTAAGACTTACAAATTGCAAAATTGGATAAAAATTTTTTGGTAGCCACTACAGAAAGGTAGTGCCAATGCATCTTCTGAGGCACGTCAGCAATGCCAAAAAAACATACGAAAATGAATTAGACAAAATCTTTAAAAAAACCTCAGTTTCTACTGTACTCTGCTATTTCCCAAATTAGTTCTTAGACTATTTGTATGAGAAAACACAGGAAAGAAATCACATTATGGTACAGTCAAATACTTTATAATCATACCTTTGTAAGGTAAAAAAACCTTCTAATTCAAAGTTTGCCATATTAATTACTAACAAGCCAGTAGAGCTTCCTATCCAAAAATAGCTAGTATTCAGGGCAGAAGATCTATTAAAAAAAAAGAGAAAAAAATTATCTGAGTATGATAAAGAAGCTTTTCTTATTACCATGTAAGATAAAACAATTATTTCCTATAGCTCAGATCAAGCCTATAGTTTTGATAAAGACAATTTTTTTGTTGATTTGAGAGTGGTATTATACAAGCAATAAGACTAATTGACTGTAATAATACATCTTCTGGCCCTAAGAGTCCTGACACTCTATTAAAGTATGCCTGAGATGTACGTCTTAAAAATCATCATTTCCTTCCTCCCAGTGTTAGTCCTTTATGAAAACTAGGCATCATGAAAATAACTGTTTGCTAAGAAGTACTACAATTTTATTTAAAGACAAACAAAATGATCCAGGAGTGCTGGATATTTTTCCTCTCTGTTTATCAAAAATTCTTTATGTATCTAACCAGAGGAACAATAAGTTATATCTGTACAATCCACCATAGTGCAAAAGGTGGAAAAAATGTTTCCTGAAACATGATGTGGCTGATAAATTTATCCAAATGACAATCATAAATAACAACAAAAACAAGTTGCTCTATGAAACAGTTCTTGTGGCAGCATCCTGAACAGATCCCCAGGTGCCCAATAATATGGTTAAAACTCTCTTCAGGAAAGAAATGCAATATAAGGATTCACTTAGGCATCTCCCCTACCTGGACAACCAATTCCATGGGAAGGAGTAAAAATGTCATACTTTGAAATGCCTGTCTCTCTGACGGAAGTCTGTTTAGAATAGGTCATGTAGTTCAAAAGTTATTTAAATTTGAATTTGAAAGGCAAACTGACATGGGTACTCAATGACTGCATCCGACTTATTTACTTAGGAAAGCAAACTAAAAATAAATTCGGCTTTTTCATTCTAATTGACTTCTTAATTTTTTTTTTTTTTTGCTGATCTTCCCTGATCAACTGGTATCTACTAGATGCTAAAACAGATATAACCAATGCCATTTTTATAAAATCATTTTCAGACTGGAGACTACTTTTAACTTTGTATCAGTTTGTGTATATTATCTGCCTAGAATGAGCCCCCATAACCTGCACATCACTAAATTAATTGATTTTCCTATTGTAGTTTTTTTAATAGGAACTCCTAGGAATAGATTTCAGCCATATACTTAGTGGCATTTTCAAAGACTGACATGTTTTCTTCATTATGGGAACATACTAAAAAGTCACAGTGTTCAATTAAGAGGATAGGCAATGATGTTTCCACTGATCCTTCTGGTCTCATGTTCTTTGTTTTGCAGAGCTCAGAAGTATTTTGCCCTTCAGCTAAGAAAGACAATCAACAATACTATTAAAAACAATGAAATAAGAGAAACAGAGAGAATTTAAGGGGGAATTAGACGTAGTAAAGTAGCATGAACTAAGACCACACTCAAGAAGTTTCTGTTTCAAAAGATGGATATGTCCTAAGAGCAAGTACTCTTGAAATATCTTTCCTCATTATTATGTTATTTTTAGTACCAACTTGCAAGACGACCACAGGACTCCGAGACGACTCTATAAGAGTTATAAATCGAAGACTTTTATTTTATCAGAGGCTGCGCTTTTATAGTCCAAAATCCCTTAGTCACACTACATAAGCATTTCTATTGGTTACATATATGTGTCCATATTATCTAAGCTAATACATGATTGGTTACTATCTTACATGTCACCGCCCACATCCGGGTCAGGTTGGTTTACTTCCGCTTCCTGTTGGTTTACTTCCGGGTTGTTCTCTTGCCGCATCGTCGTACTTTCTCTTTCTTTATCCCTGTGTCATCTTAAGGTGGTCTTTCTAAATTACAGAATTCTTAAGGTGGTGATTCCAAGCCATAGAACTCTATATAATCATATCCATTTTAGTTCATGAAGCCTCCAACACCAACTTCTTTCAAATACATAGAGATCAAATCCAAAGAGCCTACTTAAGGACTGAAGAGGAGCTGGCAGAATTTTAAGTGTGTTCATCTCAAAAGTGACTCTGAAAGCCATATTCCAACAACTCTTAAATATGCTGCATATCAGTCCACTTAGCCTGAAAATTCCTTTGACACTAGTTACAGCATAATCCAAAGACAAGAGGGAAAGCCACCTCAGTCTGATCTTCCCAAGGAGTCTCCAATTGATTATGCATGTGCAGTTCACATCTAGGAACTACTAGCAGTGAATTCAGCATTAGGCACAGACACTACATCATTCTCTTTCAAACATCCAAAGACGAAAGTGACATCTATATATTTTAAATAACAACAAGAAATGTAGCGATCTTTCTCATTATCTTAGGACCTTAGAACTATTGAAGCTGGACCACGAGGCAGCTAAGAACACAGCAGTCACTGGAGCCAAAAAAAGAGCAAGCAAGAGAAAACAGATCTCCCTTTCCCTAAAGAAAGCTTCCTCTTGCTTGCCTTCTGGAGGAACTCAACTCACTTTGGCTAGTGCACTGGTAGTCTGAATGACTCATTTGGGAACATGGAATCACCTTGCTGGTTACCACTGCAGTCTTCAAAGACTTAAACTACTCTGTGTTATACCACTAAAAATACCACAGTCAGAGAAACATCATATAAATGGAGGCACTCATATAGATTAAAAAAAAAAAAGAGAGAGATTCCTAGAAGCTTCAAAGGTAACTGAGAAATGGTACTCCTCTTAGACAACAGATGAATTTTTAGGCACTGATTCTGTTCTCACTTAAGACTTGGGCAATGACTTCAACAAAAACCAAATACTTATTAGTTCACATCATGCAATGTTTTATAAGCAGATATATTGGCCAAGATTATAATATAGACATACATGTATAATTCTTTCCAGATATGTCAAATAATTCTTTCCAAATATGCCAATACTCAACTCCATATCAGCTCAGTAAGAATTCCATGCCATAGTCTGAGACTCATAACTATCACTTACAATAAATGCTCATGGTATAAAAAGCACACACTCAGTAGCTAATAACAACTAGAATATATCATAAAAAGCATTCTAGAAGCACTGTGCTACCTCTTTCTTTTCCAGATTTCCACGTTTTATTGCAGAAATTCTCTTGCTCTTTCTTTAAGTTGACATGTGCCACATGTAATTATGATCAATTATTAAACTGAAGATCCAAAGCTACAAGAAAAAGAAAAAGCAAGTGCAATAATCTTTTGACACTAAACACAAAACTTACATAGATACAAACTAAATGTCCACTATTTAAACTGTTGATGTAACTAATTAATTTTCATATCTGGAATCTCACCTTGAACCAGAAATTTAATCATATGCATTTTTAAGATTATCAAAGGATATACTCAATATTAGCAAAAGCAGACATTATCAATTTGAACTGTGCATTTAATTCCCACATATTTATGTCTTGGAAAAAAACTCCTCATAGACTTTCACACAATCAGAAATCACAGGTAATCTGCATGTTATTGATTACTGAGTCATGTGTATGAATTTCATTTATACTTTTCCCTTTACAGGCATCACTATAGCTAAATCTTTAATTTTCTTCACAATTCACTGAATGGTAGCACTGAAGGAAAACAGCTGGAAAATCTCAAGTAAATATATTCTCAACATCAAATTAAAGAGGAGGTGAAATGCATCGTCACATTTCTCACATTTTTATTAGAATTCCAACATGCTGAAATCATAGTCTTTTCCACTTAGTATCATGTATTACATTCCTCAGCCAAAATAGAAGAATCCTATTTTTCACCTTTATTTTAAACAGTTATATTTATAGTCTCTCAATGTACTCCTCTTATATAATCACTGATTGTGCTCTTAAAACTTTCCTGGTTTTCAGGGAACAGTTTCCATTTTGTAATAGCTGTCTTATATACCATATATGGTTTATGCACAAAGCATTGAATGATGCTTACTAAAGTAACTGTTGCAACGGTTCAAAATATGTATGCAGATTTTGAAGCTTTTTATACACAGATACATTAATAATAGTTGACTGTTCTGACATGTAGACTAAGCTTAATGCGTAATTCTTACCTGTCCCTCAGTACATCCAGTGATAATCTGTTTATTTTCTTCATTGATTAGCAGACTTAGCAAAGGAAATGCTGGTTTTAAAAAGATTAAAATTATTTCCAGACTATACACAAGTCAGATATTTTATTAAAAATGGCTGAAAAAAACCACCTTACTGCAATTCTTATGGTTGCTCAATGCTTTGTGTGCCTTAGCCTTTGGGTTGCTAAGAGCTTTCCAATAGCAGGTCTATGGCCTGCCTTTCACCCAAGCCGCTGTGGCAGTAGTTTTCCCATGCTGTTCCCACGCTGTTATCCTCATTGCCTTGCATCTGCAAACCCTGATACAGTCATTAAGGCAGGTTTTCAAGGGAAGCAATTACCACAGACAACCAGGGGGAAATCATCCCTTCCTCTCCTTTCCTACTATGTGGTTTTAGCTTTTAGTTTACTTGAGGTCATCCAATAATACATATGCACAAAGCTTAACAACTAATCTCCATGCAGCTCATGCCCCCAGAGTGTGCTGCAATCACCACTAACTGCACCAGGCAGGAGCAATAAAAGGGGAGTTTGAGCAGGTCCTGTTGAAAGCTACACGGAAAAGTGCTATTAGAGAAGGGGTCTCTACTGTACTGGAGACAACACTTGCCCTCCTTCTCTTCTCTCCTTTTACTCTCATCTTTCCACAAATGTAGCTTTCACCTTTAAAGTCAATATATGCCATCCGCTACAGACACTGCTAATAAATCTATATATGGTATACTTAAAGTATTTCCTTCCATGTCATATACAAAACATGAAAGAAAACACCACTTAGTACTCAGACAGTGGAACTGTACCTACAAAACAAGGGAGCTTCATTTGCATATCTCCATAAATGGCAACAGCTACATGCACATCCTGTACAAAAAGAGCTGTTTATGAAAGGACACTAAAATTATCTATCCAGAAGTACACTTTAAAGGATAATATATTTGCTACTCACTTTGAAGGATAATATGTTTACTACTAGCTAGTCTAATAGAATTATTTTCACTACAGCAACTAAATACTTCTATAATAACTTTATATGATCGTTCAGAGATATTTTTTTTTTGCTATGAAAAAGTACACATAAAAAAGAAAACTTACCTGTTAATACTCCTGACTGATATATCAACTGGCTGGTAGAAAAGTTCCACACCTTTAGGGAAAAAGAAATGAAATAAAAATAATAATAAAAAATAAAAGATGGGCACCTACTTAGATCTTTAAGAAAAGCACTAACTTCAACGGCCATCGCGTGGTGAAAACTGAGAAATGCAGCCATTGAAAGCAATGCAATCTGGTAATGATTCTTTTCAGCCTTTTTTCTAACTATGTAGGGCTTTGTTTAATTGGTAAGTATCCATAGTGAAAAAAAGTGAAACTCACCTGGTACGGATGCACAAAGTAATCATTAGCAATTATTATCATCTTTGCTTAGGTTTATCTCTTAGCAACCTAAACCAAATTAATGAAAATACATATTTGAACTGGTTCTAGTTTTCACACAGGGAGCCTGCATAATTTCACAATTTACATATTGGGCTCTTGGATAAGAGGTTCTTATTACTAATGATACTGATTACAATCCATAGGCCCACTATAAGTCAACTTTCATTATCACCATGACTGTTTCTAAGTGATGTATCCTATGCTTAATAGTTGATTGAGAAAGCTAAATAAAATAAAATTTTTCCTCTCATGTTGTTACTTCTATGAGCCTTCCTCTCCACAAATACTTCCATGATGTTTATCATAGCTATCACAGCTGAGATTGAAAAATTCAGAGCCAGACAGTCCCTGCTTCCTAAACAAGGCTGTGAGCCTTTGTTTAGCCTCCAAGCTTTTTTTTTTGTTCATGTTTCATTTATTTCTGAATGTAAACGTCATTCTGAAAAGCTGTTTCCTAAGATCTTGTTTCACAAATTTATCTCAAGACATTCCCACTTGTTTCACTTCTTTAGCCAAGTAAAAAGGCTAGAGGAGCATAAGGTTTTGGACACTGCAAGTCCTGCAATCACAGGAGCCAACTATCATAGACTCCAGCATGGCTGCCCTCAGAGAATTAAACCTGATCTACAGAACCAGGCATAGAAAACAAAACTTAAAGACTTACTAAATTATTTGAGAGACTTGCAAAATATTTTCATTTCTTTATCATTTTAGTCCTATTATTTATCAAGGTAAAAAAACCCCCACAATTTATTCATTAGGATTTTGTATAATTTATCAAGTCTTCATTAAATTAATATGAAGCATATAGATATTTTTCTTCAGCCAATTTTACCTCGACTTAATTTCTTGTATCAGCATAAACTAAATTAGGAATATCAATCAGAAAGTCAGAATTATTATTATTTCCTAAAATTCTAATTCAATCTTTGCATTTTTGTCCAAGATGAAGACAAAAATAAAGATCAGATTTTTTCCAGAACAGTTATACAAAAATTACATTTAGAGGAAAAAAAAACAAAAACAACAATGAAAAAATCCCACCAAAACAAAAAGAAAAAAACCCAACAAACCAAAACCAAACCAAACAAACTAAAATACTTTTAATACAGCAAACTTTAACTTTACTTTAGCTTGTAGGACCAAATGTTGGGCTATGCTTACAATCAGTAGTAGACTAAGCTGTTTTTAATCAAGGTACCCACCCCAGTATCTACTGGAAGATACACCCGGGTTCACTCCATGTTTCCCCTTACTAAGTTGTCTTCAGTTGCCCTTGTGTACAGCAGCAGCAATCCATGTTGTCACTATATAAATTTTTGTCTGACAAAAAATCCTACCAGTATACAATAACCCAGCCATTGCATGCAAAAACTCAAACCAATATTCCCAAGAGGGAAAATTCCAATCAATGTCAGCAGATTCAA